ACTTAGGTTACTGGCAAGAGTAAGGAAAATTAATCTAGAAACCAGAAGAGCAACTTCTCACATTCCATAAACAGTTTATAAAATTAATTACAATAGCATACACATCGACTCCGGATGTGTAACCAGCTATGCTATCATTGCCCAATACAATCAGAATACATGGAAAAAGCCAAATACTTCCCTCCAAAGGTAATTGATATAGACAGATCACATAACCAATAACTGGGAATTAGTCCATCCAAGTTATTTCTGGAAATTTATGGGTCTCACAAAAGAATAAAAAATGTCTGTTTTCATTAAAAACCAGAAGTAGAGGGAAAGCATCAGTCTTGCAAGAAACTTCATTTGAAGTGGACATAATTTATCTTTTAGCTACTACTGCAAAAGCTGTAATTTACAGTAGATTAATCACTAATGTCTCTTAAAGCTATGAACATACACACAGGCTGTATTTTAGCCCTATACCTCAGGTGTTACAATTTCCTGAAGAAATCCCAATTGTCTCATCAAAAGGAAGATCAGACAGTAGAATAACTTATTTCAGTAAAACCTCTCTCAAGCCAAGAGGAAAAAACAAAGCCAGGCTTTATGCATCTGCTCTCCACTGAGCCACCGCCCATATAGCTGAGGTAACTGTCACAAAGTAACTCCTCTCAGCGTGTCAAAAACCCAGAGTTGCATACCTTAGGAAACTATACAAAAACGTCTCAAAGATCTTTCTGGATGCCATAAACCACATGCTAGTATAGAGGGGCATGACAGATGTGCATACAGACCACAACTGTTATTTGAGAAAGCTTTGTTTACAGATTTTGATAGAGAAATATATTCTTTCCCCCACCCCGGGAAAAGACATCTTGCCCTTTGCAATTTTAAGGCTGCAGGATTAAATTGCAACAGAAGTTGTCAGAGAATCTACGTAAGTATACTGTATCAAGCAATTCAGAGCAAATTAAAATAGCTACATGCATGCTTTTCCAAAAACCGTCAAGAGGCAGCAGTCTGGGCTGCTTCTCAGCAGACACCAGATACACGTGTTCAAAGAACAGCATGAGGACTGAATGAAAAAGGAAAGAAATGAGCTTCTAATGCTTTCTTACTGGAACTGTGCACACTAGGAACCTGCTGCAAAACTGTATGAAGGGCTATAAAATGTATCACACATGAAAAGCCCTTTACACCTAAATACCTCTCTCTCAAGAAAAAATGGAAGCCGTATTTGCCTGACGTGAGGGTGACAGAGCACTGGCACAGGCTGCCCAGGGAGGTTGTGGAGTCTCCTTCCCTGGAGGTATTCAAAACCCACCTCGATGCGATCCTGTGCAACCTGATGTAGATGAACCTGCTTTAGCAGGGGGTTGGACTGGATGACCTCCAGAGGCTCCTTCTGACCCCTACCATTCTGGGATTCTATAGTCCTCTGCAACATATACTGTCATACAAGCTTAACTTCACAAAAATCTAACACACAGGCACAGGGTATTCTGCATTTAGATTTATCTCTGTCAGAAAGCACTGCTAGCATCCTATTTAGGGGCTGCAAGGCTCAAAAGGCTACAGATCCACTATTATCTTCCTTACACTCATCTAATTTCAGATGACTCACAGGAAATCTATCTGGATAGTACGTTATCAAACACAGCCCACCTGAGATGCCTAATGTTAACTGGGGAGACACAAGAATTTATCAATTAGTTTACTGAGTAAACATCATCTCTACACTTACATGAATATCAAGAGATTAAAATTAATGCTTGCTATAAACTTTTCAGAAACTGGAATGAAGATACTTCGGATGTCTCTAAATGCATTATATATTTATACATTTGTGTGTTCTGGAAATAACCAGTTAGCCAACAATGCCTTGCTATCCCAAATGGAAATAATATTTACCTTGTTCCACTCCGCACATTCTCTGTGTTACATATTCTTTAGGACAAAAGACCACTTCTTTGCTCCAAAGGTAGTGGTGACAGACTTTAAAATTACAGTTAACACTTTTAGCAACAAGTCTGATGGGGATTTTGTTTGTTTGCTTCTTTAAAGATACAGCTCAACTACTCTATACATCCTAGTACGAAAGCAAATATTCTTGACATCCAGCCTTTGGAACTGATTTTGACCAAAGCCTTGCTGAAGTGATTACATTAATCCAAATTCAAACCACTTATTAGCACCCTGGCATACATATCTGACATCCTGTCCACTTTCTAGTTAATATTTTAATTAATTTCTGCATATGAAAACAACACACACCAAATTCTGTCCCTTCTAATGAAAGCTGTATTTCATTACCTGGCAGACGTATCATCTCCAAAGATACTTATCCTGTCATAGGTCTGATTTTTATTTTTAAAAAGAAACTCCAAAACTACTATTACAAGACAGACAGGATTTTATGAGTTACAAAGCATTTCAGTTGTAAGCAAGTTCCCCATCACTCCTCTAGCTTTTAGACTCATACAGAAATAAGCACTCCCTCTTTCAAGCACAATTTTTAATCTGATAAACAATGTCTTTAGGTTAAATTACAATAGAGTAAAAGTTGAAAAAAGGTCCAGGACCGCCATAGATGATATGTGAAATTACGGTTAGAGGATCTGAGTTTAGCTTGACACCTTACCTGACTGGCTTGCTTTCTCGTAGCAAATCTTCCAGACTCTTTTCACAGTGTTCAGCTGCCACGACCAGTCTCTCTAATTGGAAAAGAAAAAAAAAAAAAAAGAGAGAAGACTAGAATCCAAATGAGACAATGGGAGTACAGACTTCTCAGTCTACCTATCTGGCAGATGTTAAAGTATTCTGACATATTGTATAGAAAATTACAACACTTAAATGTTAAATATGCACAACTTCTGGATATCATCATGATTTTCATTTATGAGATACAGCAGATTATCTTTCCTCTTTCCTCAGGCAAAGCACTGTCAATACATCCACTCAGTATACAAAAAATGTTGAACCCCTCAGCCAATGTCAGTCAGACTTGACTTCTACAAATTTGCAAAAATCTGTGGCTGGGTTGATGACAGAGAGACTCAAAGTAACACCAGCTTTGTGAAAAGGGACTCAGAGCATGCACAGGTGTTTCAGCCCTGATGGGCCAACTAGCACATTACTAGCTCTAGTGCCTCTTCCCCAACAAATAGCTATAGGACTTGCAGGGGTCCCACATGTTCCGAAAATCGATGAGCTGGCTCTGGATACAGAGGAAAAGACAAAACAATCATTGCACTGAAGACCGCAATTATAAAGTAGGAAAAGACAAAGGTGTAAGATGTTACACGGGGGTGCGAGGTAACGCCTAAAGAAGCTAGGCTTTGCTACTTCCACTACTCATAGAACAGCTAGTAGTAAAAGTACAGACTGAAACCAAACCAAACTAAACTATTTCAAACATTTTTATAAGAAGACTGTTACAGTAGGATAAAGATGGAAAATACTTTGAGGAACACAACTTATCACATTAAAGCTGGAAAGCTTGTTACTCAACTTTTTGTTTCTCCTTTTCGAAATCAAAGGACCACTTAAGCTTTCTTTGGAAGAAGAAATCCTGGGATTGCCTTCTACAATGTTAGCAAATAAGTAGTTTAATTTTACCAAAAAAAAAAAAAAAAAAGAAAAAAAAAAAAGAAAGATTTCAGTTTGAATGTTATCCTATTACTTTTACATTTCCTTTTTGAGTGTCTTTTTGGGGGTAATGCATACATATAATTAATTTTTTGGATTGTTTTCCTAGTCTGCTTTCATATTTCTCTGTAAGAGCAGAACAGATACAAGAAAAATAATATTAAATTACTATGCTTAGGATTGACAAGTGAAAAGTTCTGCCAGTATCAGAAATACAAAATTTGCCATCAAATTTGCCCTATTATTTGAAAGTGATTAACTGCTATTCTAACCACTAGGAACAGAAGAGTCTCCTGACTCCATGGTTAGATATTTTATTTGCTGTCCTTCAAGTTAATCAGCAGCAGATATTTTCTCCTTCATATTTGTACATTCTCATAAACCTTTATGTTATTGACTCTTCATTGTCAAGAAGGCCACGTTTTCCTATTTCATCATATCTTTTTTTTTTTTACTAAATGTTACATTAGCTAATGTTTCTTAACCTTTCATCCCAAATGGTATTGTAAGAAAATCCCAGTTGCTGTTTCAAGAGGTACTAGCAAAACCAAGATGAAAATTAATAAACTGTCTAGATCTCCTGACTGCAGAAAATGAAAAATTTACAAGTTTAAGAGCAAATAAAAACACACAAAACCCACCCCAACCCGCAGAATACTTCAGTGTTTGGAGTTGGCAATATCCTCATTTTCTAAAAATGTGAAATCCTATCACACTGTATTCTAAAGGGGGAAAAATTACTTGCTGGACTTTGAGACCCTGTAGCTAATCAAACAAATACATACAATGCCCTTTCATATGGGAACACTGATAATTTAGAAGTTAAAGGTGGCAACCACTTAAATTGTCACAGGTGTTGCAGCCTTTTTGTGGAAATTGAGTGCTGTACTCCTGCTGAGCTTGCAACAGAATAAGATCATCTGGAGCAGAAAAAAAAAAACAACTGAAGCCTTATTTGACCTAACAATAAGTGTGATAACAGTTACCAAAAAAAATAAAATCTGTACTAGAATGAAGTCATTGTTAGTGGGAGAGATCTTAAAGACCTTGAATAAAAAAAAATAGTAAGGGAAGCTTGTAGCCAAGACATAAGATAACTGAGACAACAAAACTCACTGCAAATCAAGTACAAGAAACCTAACTATCACATGAAAATGTTCATGAGATTAGAACATAGGTGTAGGAGCTCAGCACCAAAATACAGTTATTTCTGTGTCCCACACAAAGACATGGCACTGCAATTGAGTACAAGAATTTTACAGCGAGATATAAAAAGAAGTTCTTAGTTTTTATAGGTCAGCATAACATATAACAAGAGGACAGACAACTAACCTCTGCCTTGAGTCTGTAGAGAAGAAGCAAAAGCACCAGTACTGCCAGGCACAGCAAAGGCACGCAGTCATTTTAAGACTGAAAACCAGTCACTTTCTGGCGCTATAATGGCAATATTCTGCTCAGTCACCTTTAGATATATTGTCACAAAAACATAACTCTAACCATACACAAAATTTGCTTATTAAACAGATACTCACCGTGTTTACCTCTGGTAATGTCAACGTACTGGCAAAGCCTGGGATGGGTGATTGTTTTAAGGATCTGAAATCTCCCCAAAATTTTGATGGAATTAGGTGTCAGAGGAAGGCCATTACTTCCACAAACATCATGTGGCAGAGCTGAGGCAAAGAAGGTGGAGGCACCCATCTCAGTGTCTTTTAAAGGAAACATCTTTTTCCACACAATCTTAAGACCTTTGGAGCAACTTGCGTACCTTAAAAAGAAAACACAGAATAAAAATTTAGCTGCAAAAGATACAGATTCTTGTGGCTCAGCTTACTAGTTGTTTACTAAATAATGCAATTAAATTTTTTTTTTCCTGTTATGGGGGCATGGGATGTTTTTGTGTGATGAACACTATAATAACAATAGTACAGTGCTGCTGCATCATAAACACTACACTTAAAGATGATAATACAGTGATAGTTTGAAACACATTTAAGAATCAAAAAATATGTATTTTTAGGAGCAGACAGATGCTTTAATACAAGCAATCTCCAGGTGACTACCGCAATATGGTAGGTTATTTGTTCAAAAACCAGTAAAGGCAACGAACAGAAAAAACCTCTTCTAAAATAGCACCTTGTATCAGCAGACCACAAATCCAGATTACCACAGCGTTAGTGATAATCCAGCATCTACATACTATAGCATTCCTAATATTTAAAGCTATGAAGCAACAGTCTTCTGTCCTACCACCATTTCTTTTCTTACCCATAGGTACATTGCTAGCTCACACACTACCTCAACAACAAATTAAGAAAGTAATCTACATTAAATATTTCTGTGACACAGTCAAGAGAAATAAATTAACTTGCAATCTAGTTCTAGGAGCACTTCCTTTCATGACCATTTTTGTCTCCAGCAGGAAGAAGCTCTCTCCTCTGAACTATGCATTCCAATTCAGTGTGAGCTAAATATTTTCTCTGTACCTTTCCATAACCAACCATTATACCATTTGAGAATATGAAAATCCACACTGTGCACAAGTAACAGACACTTCTACAGCCAGCTAGGCCACTAACAAAACTGCCTGACCTCTTCTTACTAGTAAAATAAGAATTTAATCTGAGGCAACAAGTACCAAAATCCAAAAACTGAATCAAGCCTCTGCTCAGCTCATTTCTGGATTGCCCAGATGGGAGCTGGAGACACTACAAGCTGTCATTAGGCAGTATTATCCCTCTCTACATGTTAACTTCCACAGCGCATACGTACTTGTGTATAAGGATACATACACAGAGATAAAAAGACCAAGCTTGTACACTCTCAAGCGACCTCTGGTCTGGAAGTTGTGATGGTGAAGTAGGTGGCACTTCCACCTCACACGGGGCGAGGGGCCACAGAACCAAAAAAATCTTCATTAATGAGCCTACAGGAAAGAGTACCATCCAGCTCACTTCAGCTCCAGAGACATTACAGCGGAGTCTGGAGGCATCTGTGTATATAATCAACAGAAATAGTCCACTGATATGGAAAGCACATCCAGCTCTCGTCAGCTATAAGCTCTAAAGAGTAGAAACAGATACACAGTTCCTCCAGGAAAAAAGGAAGAAGAATCCTTAGGATTTGAAGACCATAACAGAAATAATACGAAAAACTTAAAGTATAAACCCAATATAATTCTTTCAAACAAGATGTGATCATTTTCTATCATCTTGGGGGGCTTCGTGAAACAGAACCAAGGTGGAACAAGATTATGCAGAGCACTAATGAAGCTAAGTGCTACTTTATTACCCTTTCAGCCCACATTGACCTGATGCTTTCAGGAAAAGCTACTCTCTTGTGAGAAAGTCACACAGGAAAAAGAGTTTAATGCTTCAGTGCCTCAAAAATTGTTTTTTTCCTCTAAGAGAACAACTTTGTTCCCAGTACAAATTTCCCAGTAAAAACCTACAAAGTTTCTTTTGTGAATCTTAATTGAGAGAGTGACCCCATAATAGGTTGCACAGAGATCCTCATGTACCAAACATATTTACCAAGTCTATCAAATGGAAATCACAGAACATACCTTCTGTTTAAAGTAATACAGTCCAATTTAAGATACAAAGCAAATATAAGACTGCTGTCATATGTGGGGTTTTTTCCCCTGAAGAAAAAACAGACATGAGATGCACACATTTAAATTCTAACGTATATCATCATACTAAATATGAATGCATGGCATTAAGGAACCAAACTTAAAAGATAAAGAAAAACCTGAAACAGCACTGAGCAATTAAGCTTTTATAGCAGTATTTTTGTGTTAGAAGTCTTATTTGTAAAAATACAGTGATTTCAGATCTCATCAATATTTACTATTTTTTTTGAAGTGATTTATTTTAGGACGCCAAAAATGCAATTAGAATATTCCAATGCAGTTAGAATATTCCATTGGAAAGACATAAATTGGACTGAATGCAAGCACAAGGGATTTATTGGCATGCAGCAAGTTCCAACTGGAAAGTTTTAACCGTATATTTATAAAAAGACCTGCATTCCTGTCTGCCAAACGAACCACCGAGTTTCAGAAAGAAAATATATATTAACAATGAATTATAAAAAATAAAAATCTTGATTTAGAGCACGAATTATAATCTTGCTTGGCACAACAGTCCTCTAATAATTGCTCTAAAATTAAAAAAAAAGATCAGCATTGAGGGGAGAGTAAAATTGTGCCAAACAGTGAGATGCATTAGGTCTCTGAGAAGTTAAATAACTACTGTACAAGATATTTACTCAGATAAGAAGTGTTTTCATTTCTACTGTAGAAAAATTATGCATTAATTTTATTATTTGGAGGAATGAATCATATCCTGCAGAACTTCCCTGTTACTTTGAAATACAAAGAGGAAGAGAAACAGAAAAGTTTGTTATTTTAAACTGACACCAGAAACAGTTAAGACAAACTCAATTTTGGGATTGAATTCTGGAAACTCAATTCTGATAATCCAAAACAGCGAGGATGGAAGAGGAAGCAAAGACTTGTCTCATTAGTGTCATCTAAAATTACTGAGTCATTGTTTCCAAAGCACTGTTTATTCCATATATGAGAGACAGCCTATCACATCTGCAAAATAGGTCTGGCATAGAGATTAGAAGTCCAGAAGTGGCCTGTTTTGCACCCCACCTCTGAACGACCTTTCCTAGCCCACTACCTCCATCCAAATCTCCCTTAGAAACCTTTACAGTACACAGAACCACTAACCAACATTCTCCACAAAATTCACCACAAAACAAAGACCTTCACAAATTCCCATTTAATATTTAGATTAGCACTATTTTGATAGTCATTCCTTTGATAGCTTTTCTATGCCCAACACTGAGCAATAAAATACAAATGGCAGCCCCTCATCTACTGAGCAACTTAATTGCTCCTCAGAATACCCACTGCTCTCAGAGAATAAATATTTTTTCTTCAGAGTCTAGCATTTTCTAGCTGTAACTCACAACAGTGCTAAGGTAAATGAGTCAATGAACACTAAGAGTTTTGCCCTTAAAAAGGAAAAAAACTCAAAACATACAAATTTGACGCTCAGAAGCAAATATTGCACATACCAACAGACCAACCTGAATGAATCCATCCTGTGAAACACATTTATGGTTTCTAAACTATCCACATGCAGAAATAAAGACAACTAGCCATGTGCTAATACCTGTCAGTAATTCGAAACAGCTGGTTATTCAAATGCCTCCTGAGTATCCAGGTATAAATGTCTCCTGTAAAATAAAGGCAGCTTTTCAGAGCTAAAATATAATTATGATCCATACTGCTACTGAATATTTTTAAAGCAACTGAGAACAATTTCAGGAGAGCAGGTGGCCTGAACATCCGATGCTTACACTGTTTTTCATTAAATCACAATATTTTCAACAAAGTAGGCCACTTCATAAGAAGAAATTCTTCCATGGATTATCTTCTCTTCTACTCTTAAATCTCAAGACATTCCTGTTGCAACTATAGTAATTACCGATTTGATAAAGTAACTGAAATAAAAGATGCAATTTTAGCTACAGTTCTGCTACTTCACAAAAAAAACAAAACTGGGTGATTTGCCCCCAACTGTCCACCATCAGTCAGCTATTCATAAAGTTTATTAAAATGCACAATTGATATTGAAATGCTGAATTCAGACTCCTATGGAAGGGAGCACAGAAAATAAGTAAGAGTTAGGACAATCACATTAATGAGCTGGGACATGTTCGCTTCATAATAACAAAATATCAATTTACCAGCTTAATTTTGGCAGGGATGGGGGTGGGATTGTGGATTAAATTTAGTTCACCTCACAAATCTTTTTTTCATCTGCAGTATAAACATCTACTACAAACACCATGTGATTGCTTAAATATCTAAGTGTAAGCAGTATTGTGTTCAAGCAAATGTTTTCCCCTGTGGCATAACATCAAAATATCCTCTTTTACAAAAATTTTCTAACTTCCCTAACATTCGTTGAAATAAGAAGTACCTATAAAGAAAAAACACGGAGTCATGGCCAGATAACTACAGACTATACACGCATTAGGCATGTTTAAAAAAAAAAAAAACAACATTGTTATCCTCTCCAAACTAATAAATTCAGCACAGAAAAGAAACACTTCGCTTCAGATTCCAGCTATACCAATTCAGCAAGAGATAAGCAAGTGTGCCAAAATTTTCATTACAATACTGTTACTTGAGATAAAAACTAGATTTTGCCAAGGCTCCAATGCAATTATTTTTTTCTTCAATGAATACACAAATTTGGGGGGAAAAAACTCAGAGAAGCATAATGGGGTTTTTTTGGCACAGGTAACTAACAAATATTTGAAGAGTTTTTTCATGAAAATGCTTAGTAGTAATTCCTTTAAAAAGGAGGGATATTAAAGCATCACTTCACTCAAGTGAAATACAAGCCATCACTAAAGATTAAAAAATGCTCTAGCTGGAAGTATTTGAAGAATTTTGTCGTACATACATGAAAGCCTCTGTATTCTATGTAGGTATTTGCATAAGAAGAGTTACTGGCGCTGTTTGGAGCATTGACAGTGTTACTACATAGATTAAGATGTTGCTGACAGTGTTACTACATAGATTAAGATGTTGCTGCTTTGAAAGCCAGGCACAGGAGTTAGTGACACTTGCGGGTACCTCAGATTCCCTACCTCCTGCTAGCACATTCAGCTAGTGGGGGAAAAAAGAACACCACCTG